AGTCTCACTTTATCACCCTCGATAGAGTGCTGTGACTTCACAGTTCAACCTCCATCTCCTGGGTATAGACGGACCACCCTCCGTATATGGGGCCGGCACCCTACCCACTTAGCCATAGGCATCGCCTAAACACGCACTTTTCAAAAAAGCCTTTCTTCATAAACTTGACTTACAAGTTAAACTCCTCAAACAACCAGCTTCAAATAGTAACATGAATTAGGTCCTAAGAACTAACATCTTATTTCAGAGAACCAGACGTGCTCTGTTCTGTTGAAAGAAAAGTGTGGCTCACATTCAGGAGGGTCACTCTCCTTGTGACACCTCTATATAAACTGCATTTCAGAGAAAAACACTGTGTCTGCATTGCATGAACTTTCCACTGCCAACTTCGACTTCTATCAGTGGCCCTCCACTCATCTTCTCCCCACCCTTGTCAGACACAAGATACAGACACGCACAGAATGAGATAAGCCAGTGTCCCCTCCACACAGATCTACGGACAGACACTCAACCATGTAAGCCTCTCCTCTCTCACTTCTGCTTCCAACTGTGGAACGGTGCCAAACCTCTCTACTAAAATGACTGTCGCAAAGGGAGCAAATCACCTTTTTTGGCAAATTGAATAGTCTTTTCTCTGAGCTTCTGGTTTAGTAGGGAAAAAACAAAGGTGCTAAATGAGTCTTCTGTTGCTGTAAGACCTTAGACAGTTGTTTTTACTTAAGTTAGTTCTTTTCAAATAAAATGAATGTATTCGTCTGCCTATGTAGCGGAGGCCTTCTCTGGGCCTGGGACTTGCTGGAGAGGGGTGACCAGGATCCTACTCTTGCCCTAAGGGAGCCCACAGTCTACCCAGTAACACGCTGGACAAACGATGATGCACTTGACCATGTGACTGCAGGTGTGGAATGACAGGGTAGAAAAGGAGTATTTATTGGAGGAATAACAGGCCTTTGTGGGCTGTTGCTATGTAGTTTCTGAAAGTCGAGAAGCTCACTGATTCTTTGTTCCTTCAACTAACACTTATCAGGGGCCCACGACTGCAGAGGTGCCACAGGTACACAGGTGAGGGAGGCGTCAGTTATCCACAGTCTAATGAATTTCAGGTTTTCTCAGGAGAAACAGATATGAACCCTGAAGTTATCTGCTGAAAACTGAGAAGCATTCTGCAAAGAGGACATACACGGTGCCAGGGTAGCATTTAGCCCCCCCACCCCGTGTTCCAGGGAGCCAGGAAAGGCGTTTCCCTAAAGAAGCCGCCGGGATGTGCACCTGCGGACAGGCCGAGTGGGAGGCAAGATCCACGCTGGGAGAATGCTGGACGCCCAGGTGCCTTTTCCAGCCTCCCTGGAAGTCGGAGGTATTTACGAACGTCCTCCTTCCACTCACATTATTGCTTCTGTGTTACAAGGGGCCAGTCATGAGTGGAAGGTGCCAGTGTCCGGGATAACGACCAAGAAGACTGGAACAATAGGACAAGAAGGTAGGACAAAATCACATGCAGAATTCAGAGAAAAACACCTGGATAAAACAAGAGCCTTTAATAAACGTTGGCGCTCTCCCCCTGCCCCACAGGCGTCTGTGCACGGTGACCTTACTCCCAGTCCTCCCTCTCCACTTACTGGAACTGGGTATGTTCTCCTTCTGGAAAATGGCCCTCCTCCCCTCTCCGTCTCCGACAGGAGGCCTTCTCCTCCCTCCCACTCTGTCGCTTTTGCTTTATCTCTTCGTCCCCCCCCACCCCCTCCCTTACAGCCTCAGGGCTCTCCCGGCTCCAGAGTCGCACGTTCCTCTCCCTGGGCCGGGGGTGGAGATTGAGCCCCAGCACGTCCTGGACCTGAGGCTGCCCGCTTTGCCTCACGGTGAAACCAAGTTACAGCGTTTTCCTCAGATCTCGGACACTTCCTTTCCAATTTTCATATTTATAGAAAGAAATAAACTCCAGTTTTCTAGAGTCTTAGGGTTCAAATCTTTAGTTCAAAGATTTTCCTCTCTCTATAAGGTTAGTCCTCTCCGCAATTTTCTTTTTCCCTGACAAAGACTCCCCTATTTATCTCAATTTACATCTCAGAAACCTCCTTGCTGTCCCCCCCCTCCCCCCCGCCCCCGCCCCGCTGAAATCTAACTTGGACATAATGCCAGACTGAATTTTCTAGATTGCTTTTAGGCCACTCACCTATTCAAATATTTCAAATTATCCCATACACAATGTCACGACAGATCTAAACTCACTTGCCTCATTTTCAGCGGCCCTCCAGGATCTGGGCCTGGGGGCTACAGATTTGTCCATTTTAGCTGGTAGGGACCACACGGTCAGCATTCAGTAATTATGTACTTTCCTCTCAATGAAGAGACCCACATTAACCTAGAGAAGTCACTACAACTTCTAAAAGCAAAGAGAGGTGAAACCAGGCCTTAGTTTCCAGGCCTGGCTCCCTTACTTACTACGGCTTTGATTCCCAATCCAGGGAACGTGCCCCTGCAGGGTCCTTCAAACAAGACGTGGAGCTTGAAAACCTGCCCTTCATTTTGTGCAGCTGATTCTAATCTCTGCCTGCCCATTACTGAAGATACCAGGGAATTCTCTCTGAAGCTGTTTAAATATGAGGGTATCATATGAGACACAGTAAAACCACCACTGTGACTTATACATTAACCTCATTTCCCAGATAAAGTTGAATACCTTAAGGAGTCATCTTTTATTATATAAACTAACAAGTAAAGCATCCACCAGAATCCCAGTCCTCAAGTCTTCACAATGAGCCAATGTTTCCATGTGCTACATTACCAGGTTAGCACATTTAGTACACGGAGTGAGAAAAAGCAACATTTTTATTTCCTCGAAGAGGATGACAGTATTTATTTACTGTAGGGTTCTTTTCAAGTTTATGCTGAAGATACTATCTGATGGAAAGAGATTTTCTAACAAAATCAAAGGCCTTAGGTAAATCACCAAATATACCTAAAGATTAGTTTCTCTGCTGAGGCTTCCGATAAGACCCTGACTTAATCAGCTTTTTTCAGATGTAGACACTGCTATCTCTAATGCACACCTCTCTCACTGTTGAGATTAAGCCTCACCAAAATCCAAGCAAGAACCCAATTTCACTGTAACCTAGAAAGGCCTTTCTTTAAGGCATTGGATGCCAGCTCCAGTCACGTCCAGGCTCATCAAGTCCCCGTAGGCATTGCAATAGAAACCAGTAACTGCCCACTGAACGGGACAGTTTAAACCACAGGATGACCACCCTGTGAATTAGCTCTGGAGGTGGGTCACTGCATGGTCAAATGAATGTTCAATCCCACATGCCTCGTATGGGATATGACTCT